TCAACAAACTCGAAAATTCTGACATTTTACTCAACAATCAATTGGACGTCAATAGTTCACCACTGGTGAATTTGTTTTCTTAGTAAGTAATAACTTGTATTTGCTATAATCCCTTTCGAGTTGTAACGGAATGTTTCACGATCCGTCACTCCAACCGTGATTACCCATTCTGCCCCATTGATTGCTACGCCCATGATCACCTTGCTCGGAGAGTCGCTGTGCTCTGTTGGCGAAATTTGTGACCATACGTGTATGTGTCTAGCTTCAACTAGTGCAATGAAAGAGTTTATCTCTCTCTTCTCGAAAAATCGGGAGTGCGATACGGAATAGGGACCGGTTCTCAAGAGCTCTCTTGCGACCTGACTACAGAGGAGAAAACATCGCGGTCACCTCTGTGAGAGGATCTTATCTGAAGGCAAATGGAAAGGTGAGGTTTTTCATATTATTTGGCTTTAAATTTATTATCTCTGAATCTGAGTTCAGGTGAGTGATGCATTTATTTCTCTACAGAAAATAATTTGCGAGTGCATAATCTCACCTGTACTTTATTTCTCACTCGAAATTTTGGTTACCAGAGTGTTTCCTTCTCTCCTCCTTGTAATATCGCTAGTTGAGCATGTGCAAAGCATTTCTTTTGTGTTAACTTTCCACTTTTCTTAGTTATCTGGCAGAAAGCAGACAAACTGACGAATTATCAGTAGTAGTAGTCTTGTTCCTCATTTCAAATTATCTAGATGCGAAGGCCACCTCTCCATTATCTTCCATTTGCTTTCAGAGAGGGTACTGATGTGTTTTCTGGCTCTAGTCATGGAATGAGACTCTCACCTTTTTTTTTCCTCTTTGGAGATTTTGAACTTTCTCAGATAGTCTCAGAATAAACATCATCTTTCAAATTTCAGCATAACATGGTTGATCATTAATGAAAAATTTCACTAGAAGTAATCAGAGTGACTGTTTGAAGTACTTTCGAAAGATTTGAAGATTCATATATATTGTTGCAACAAAATCAGAGTCCATATCTCGAATTTGCATATCTCATTTTTACATACAGTATTACTTAAAAATATTTTTCTGCTGTTGTCATAACTGGATTCAATCCACTTTATTCTTAAATTGAGTTTCACATTGGTGAAGGCAATTGTTGTATGATTTTTTTTGACATATGAATTGAATATCCAGAGAGATTTACGATCATTTTTCCTTTTAGATTATCTCCAAAACAGAAGCAGATAAAACTACTCATTTTGAGTATTTATTTTGTTAATCATTGATTGAAGTATTGAATGAATTTGTACCTACTCTGAACCAGATGGTCCTGATTGTATTCCTTCCTAACTCTGTGGTAGTGCACATACTGCTGTAGATATTGTCTGTACAGGAATTTCAAGAATACTCCATTCCGGAATGAAGCAAATTGGGAGACTGAAGCTGTCCATGAGCCATATCACAAGCTGAAGCACTCACCTTAGCTGAAGCCCGACTCAAAAATGTCAGGAGGCCATAAAAGCTACAACTACAGATCCTGAACACTGAGAAATCGTATACCTTAGGGCTGGGACAGAGTAAGTCTCACTTTGAGGAGGTCATATCAATAAGGCAGCTAGTCCCAGACAGAAGAAAACTGCATACCAAAAAGAGTAAAATTTTCCTGTGAGACAAATTCATTAATATTCCTTAATCAATAATATTGAATAGTAGTTGATCGTCGTAATTAACTTTTTTTATCCAGAGATATAATTTGACAATCATTCTGATTGAGTGACATAGTCAATTGTAAACAATATTTTCTTGTTGTACAGAAATCGATCATGAATAGTAGTTGATTGTCGTAATTCTTTTTTTTTATCCAGAAACATAATCTGACAATCATTTTGATTGAGTGAAATAGTCAATTGTAAACAATAATTTCTTGCTGTACAGAAATCGATCATTCGAGTTTGTTTGTAAATATAATATTAGTATGAATCTGATTAGTTTATTCTATTAGAGAACATTCATACCATCTGAGGTGAGAATTTCTGTTTCCCAAGTGATTTTCTTCTTAAGGAATTATTTTTTTTTGCATCTTTTTTTTTCTAAAAAGTCCTGGCGCCCACAAAAATTCAACTTATCTTGACCAATCTCAATATAACTTAACTAACATATCTTATCTTGAATAATAACCTTGTAGTTAACGTATCTCATCCAAGAGGTATTAGCGCAATTTTCTGATGAATTGGCCAATAGAGGGAATCCTCACCCCAGATGAAGATCCTTACCCCGATCCTCCCGTATCAATTCTGAGCAGCCCAAAGGCAAGAGCAATAAAAGCTACACAAACCCCTATTAGTATCGAATATCAAAAGGGAGTTACACATTTGGCGCCCTCCAACGTGGGGCCCGATTTTCTTGACTTACCTTTACCCTATCTTGGTGATGTTCTCTCATAGAATGTATTTTCTGGTGAAAACTTGGTGACTTATTGTTCTGATTTTCATTAATTATTATTGACTGCATATTTTTTCTCTTTCCTCATATCTTTGCATTTGTTTTCTCACAAACCTAAAAGAAGTCTTGATCCGGTACACCGTATTTCAATGTAGATATTTTGGCTGATTTCCGGAAATGGAGGTTTATCGAACCTGTCCACAGGTAACTAACCCTTCAGGTTGGGAAAGTAGGATATATAAACAAGCCAAGGATAGTTCAGTTCATCTTACCAGTATATCACCTGACGAAGCTGTGTGTTAGCGAAACATGTCGTGAATTTATAAATGTTGTGTAAATCTTATCGTATGTGTACATTTCATTGAAAGAGCTTCAGTGCATGCTTTCATGAAGTTGGCAGTGGATTCATTATTGACCATTACATATATTTTCCTTCAATCTCTTCGATGGGACAGTAGGCGGTTGAAATGGCTGTGGAATAGAAACAGATTACTTATAATTTTACGATATAATATTTCTTTTATAGTTACCAAGACCCAGAGAGAAGTGGCAATCCATTGCTGCAGTTTTTGAAGGACGGTGGCAAATAATAAATTGTGGAGGAGCTTTCGAAGGAAAACATATTAGGATTATTCCACCTGCTCGTTCTGCAGCACAGTACCATAACTATAATAATTATTATAGCATTATTCTCATGGCACTAGTGAATGCTAAATATAAATCCATTTACATCGATGTCGGAAGAAGTTGACGTGCTGGAGATGCAGGAGTATTTGAACAAACCCAGTTCCATCACGCCTCATCAAACGGTAATTTGAATTCACCTACATGTAATGAAACTGATTGACAACTCAATTTTGATTTTATTGGTAATGAGGCTTTTGCTTCGGGAGAACATTTTTCAGAACCATTTTCACAAAAAGATATCTCACATGAAAAACGAATATACACCTACAGACTTTCTCGTGCCAGAAATGTAGTGGAAAACGCATTTGGACTGAAATCATCTCGATTCCGAATTCTTCAGACAAGTATCAACATTGAAACTCAAAAGATCAACTATGTCATTTGCGCTATTTGTGTGCTACATGATTTCCTTACGAGACATATTCTATCATATACCACAAACACATCATTTGATAAAGGAGATAAAGATCATCACAATATGATTGAAGCAGGATGGCGAGGAAATGGATCTTGCCTCCTTGGATTATAATCCACATCCGGAAGAAATATCGGTAATAGGAGAGCAAAAGAAAATGGAGAATGCTATGTAGAACATTTCATGAGTGAAGGAGAAGTTAGCTGACAAAAGGAGATGCTCAGAAAAGGAAAAGCTTAGAGACGGAAGTTCTTGTTATAATTGATGACTTTAAAGGTAAACTCATTCGTTCTTACCTCAGTGACGTCTAGTTTATTTTGACTACCTTCCCCTTCCTCATCATGACTTGAATTCTCTTATTCAATCTGAGTTGCATTATTGCTATGTTGGTCTTCCAAAGAATCACTGACTTTGTTTGTTGGACTCTCCATATTCGAAATACTCTCTGTAGATGTTTCTCCATCTATTGTGAACTGAAGTAGTTCGAAGTACCATAATGCTGGTTGATAAATGTCATCTACTAATGATCACAAACTTCAATCAATTCTGTTATTCCTATGTTTTTCAAATTTTTATGCATGTAAGCTTCAGATTTTATTCCACATAAAGATGTGTGTTCTTTATATACTCTAATAAATATCATCATGAATGTTCTAGAGAAGTATCTGTAAAAGAATCCACTGAATTCACTATGGATAGGTATGAAAGCAAATCGAAAAAGTTACTATATCAATTGACATGATAAGATCTATGCTTCCAAATTATACGGAATTGAATATCATTATGATTCTCTATGCTCCAGAAACTTTGAACGACAATAATACATCTCATTTATACTCACCTCGTATCCGTCATTTCTTCATCAGACGAAACGTCGAACGCCACAAACGATAAAAAATGCACAACTCAAAGCACGTGGTTTTACGCGACTAGATCATTCAGTAATCTTTGCTCGCGTGTTGCACCACACACACATATGCGCTTTCGGGCAGGATTGGCTCGTCATATTCCATTATCATAGGAAAATGTTTCCGTGTATGGGCACCTATTGAAGAAGCTTGATATCAACATTTGAACAATCCTCTTCTGCGGCGGGCTGTAGCATTTGAAATTGCTACAATAAGTTTTAGTTTATCATCTTTGTAAATAGTTTATTTCTACCTAGTGTATATAAATAGTCACATGAGAAAAGGTTTATACTTACAGAGAACACTCAGTCATTGTTTAGTCTTTGATAAGTCAGGTCATCATCTTTATTATAAAACACATACAGCTGATTTCAGTAAAGATATTAGGTATTCAGATTATTTTTCCTGAGGCTCAGCATACCTGTAGGAAGTGATGATTTTAGCCTTGGCTTCGTTCTCTGATCCAAATGAACAGGTCCTGAAAATTGGGGAGGATAATTATTAGAAATCTACTTTGTTTTGAGGTAGAACAATTGACTTACCTGTGGTGTTCCTCAGAGTGTTGGTGCCATTAGGGACTCAAGAAGTTCTTTCAATTTCAGATGTAGTCTGTGGAGACTATTTGTTTTCTTTAATTTTCTAGGATTCTTCTGTTGGTTAGGTATGTCCTATTCTCATTCTAGCGTGGAACTCCGGTCGTCGTGAACATCAATAACCTTCGTGACTCTCCGAGAAAAAAAAAAAGGAGAAGAAGCAATCATCAACATTTGTTGTTTATTCACATCATGGACTTCGAAGTGAAATAGAAGAATAAGGAGACTCTTCTGTCTTCAGTTCCTGTTTCGTATAATTTTATTTGAACTACTAGTTCTCAGCCCTTATCTCGACCAATAGGATACGAGGAAATTATTTTCTCTCGGATTTTTGTTGTTTCGTGAGCGGTCGGTGTTAAGGGTGGGGGAAATAGTGGACTTCGAAGGATTTTTCGTTCTGGAGGACCTCTTCTCGGGCAGCCATGATGAAGGACGTGAGCCATTAAGTTGTGGTGGTGATATTTTTGATCACTCGATGAAAATCTGGTGAAATATCAAGTTTTATTATAACGTTCTCAACGCTTGGCGTTATCACTGCCACCAGCTTGGATTTGGGAGCTCGATGGTTCTTCGCTGCTTTGGAGCACCTGGGAGTCATGCCACGTGCCCCAGCTTCGTTTTTTTGTTGCTGTCTTCAACCCTTCTCAGAAGGTGAGTGATGTTCTCAATGATTGGTTAGTACGGTGAGAATTTTTGTACCACTTTTCTGGAGCTATAGGACATATTTTCTATACACTAGGGTGCTAGGATGTGCCTAGGGCACTAGTGGCTGTCTGACCCGCCGCTGATCTCCTGAGCTGTGTTTCGTTGGCACGCCGGGAGGAATACCCAGGACGAGGGGCTACGGAACCCAGCACACCGGATCAAAGGGGGCCATTTTTTTCTTCTTCGCTGCAGCTAATCCTCTGAGCTGCATTCTGTCGTCACGCCGGGAGGAATACCCAGCAGGAGAGACTGCAGAATCCAGCCCAGTGGATTAGTGGAAGCACCTTCCTTACTTCGACACTGGACTTCTGGATTGACTGCTGTTAGCACGCCAGGAGGAATACCTAGGAGAAGGGGCTGCAGCACTCGGCCCAGCAGTTCAGCGCAGATCTTCATCTTTGTAGACCTTCATCTTCGCAGATCTTCACATCGCAGTCACCTATACTGCTAACATCACTGCACCAAGCGGACCGTGATAGGGGTGATACGGACCTCTGGAGAGGACCCTCCCCCTAATTCGACCAGGTTTTTGTTAGGGCATTAAAAATCTTAGAAATTAAAATGATTCACCATATTCACGTGTAAAACTCCCTGTGAAGCTTCACCATGGTACCATGAGACAGCGGTCTCAGTTTTACATCTTTTTGATGATTTTTTCAGCTTAACATTCAGTAGAATAATGACGATTTCCCCACATATTTGATCATTTAGATATTTAGAAATTATCAATATTTATCTGATATATATTACCTAGTTTTGAGTGTGTGTTAGGATCGTCCTCTACAGTGGTCTGAATGTGCCTTGTCTGGCTTGGGTGCAAATAAATAGCTTGCAGGAAAACATTTTTGTTTCATTCTATTATCTGACCATCTCTAAATTTTCAGGAAACATACATTTGAAGTATTTGTCATTTACCATCAGTTATAAATATTTGGTTTTCTCAATTATCCAAATCAACTACTAGTTTTTTATTGAATTGAGTGGCGTCCAAAACTCGAATATCAAACCTCGAATCCATATCAACTGTTCTCTGGCGAAAAGCAGCCGTTCGCACATGTGTGACTTATTTTTTTTATTTCAAGTTGATTGAAATTAATTATAATCAGAAAAGTAGGCTACAGGGCAATTGTCGGACCAAATAATTAATTTGGTAACAGCATCAGGTATATTACAAATTTTTGACCATTCGAATAAACAAGATGCGACTTCGTTACCTCCACAACCAAAAATGCATTTTTGTAAATCCATCATTCAAACTTTTTCCATAACGTTCTCTTTCGAATGTTGTTTGTCTGCTTTCTTCATTTAATATCGATTATTGCGTCTTCAAGATCACTGTCATATTGTTCTTGGATTGTTGTTCTCTCACCTTGGTCAGTAGCTTCTAGCATTTTCATATTGAATTTACCGCATTCAAAATTGAATTCATGATTGAATATATATCAGAATCTAACCATTCCTCAGAATATTCTCCTCAGGAATGTTGTGTTCATGGCAAAACTCTACGTGAAGTTTCCACATTCTAGAATTATTCATGTGATTTCCTAAATTCTTCTTTGATCTTCCACGCGAACAATGGGCTGAAAAACTGGTGCTATCGAACATTATCCCGAATTCCATATGAAATCTTATTAGCTGGCTCATATTCACCCCTTTTGTCTGGTGATAAAAGACCGCCTTCTCTCTTCTTAAAT